GGATGTCTAGGGCTGGGCGTTTCGCAGTCCTGGGCTCCCTCTCCCTCCCTGCTCTGACTCCTCTACTGCCGGGAGTTGGGGTGAGGGGTGCTTGGGTCCTGCCGGGCCGCGGCTTGTATCTTACCCCCTTCGCCAGTCTCTGGGTTCTCGTGGGTGTGGATGGGGTCTGGCTGTTGTCCTGTAGCTTCTGGTCTCTCTTTTAGGGATAGTTGTATTTGTTGTATTTTCAAAAACATGTTTTTGGGAGGAGATTCCCACTATCCTACTCATGCTGCCATCTTGGCTCCGCCTCTCGGTAGATCATCCTATATTATACCTTCCTCTTCTCCCGCTGTTTGGAACAGATTTATCAACACTTTGTTTAGTACTGTTTTTTTAAATGTTTTATAAATGGCATCATTTTGCATGTGTTCTGTACCTTTTTTTCACAGCATGCTTGTGAGATTGGTTTATGCTGATGTGTAAATGCCTATATTTTTAGAAAACAAGGTTGTTTTCCTTTGGAAATCAGGCTGTGGTTTGAAAAGCTGCTCTTCTCTCAGCTCTTTGTGGGGAGGGTCAGTAGCCTTGACAGTTTTTCTTCCTGTTTTTCTGCTGTTCTCATTTCTACCATTCTCCAGATTATCCAGAATGGATAAGTAGCTTTTATTGAATTCTCACACACAGATCACAGACTTATGTCTACAAGCCATATTCCACTGGAGATACTAAACTTAGTGGCACCATGTTTTAAATACTATTAAATCAGAATGTCTTAACATGGGGCATTTGCTCTTTAATCTGCCTCAATTCCCCACAGTTCCTTTTGCTGTGCTTTGCTTTGCTCACTTTACTTGTTATCTGACCCCTGAAGACATTTGATATTGGAATCCCTGGTAGGCTACTATGCTAGACTTTTACCTGTGTTTGCTTCTAAGCTGCCCTGAAGCTTCCATGCCCTTTCAGTGTTTTTCTCATCTCTGTAACCATAAGCAGAAAAGAAGAACACTTATGTTTATGTGTTTGTAAACACTCTTAGTTTGTAGATTCCCTAGGGATTAGAAAATTAAGTTTGAAACTTTTGACTACTGTTTGAGTCTCAAAGTGTGCTCTTAAAGGTTATAATAGTGTAAATGTATGCTCTAAATGGTTTAAGATCTAAAAGCAATATCAATTTTTTTCTTAAAATTAAAAAGAGTTTATACTTGAACAGATATTTACCTAAGTTGAGTTAATTCAGTGAAAGTTTTAGTGCAGTTTGCCAAGCACCAATGTGACAACAATGTGTAAGTTAAAATCTGCCAACTGGTCACAATTTAATGAGAGATACAGACTGGGAAACAACAACTGAAATACATTATGCTATAATAATGAAGTGTTGTCAAGTGAGCATAGAATCCTTTGATTTTCAAGAAGGCCAGTCTAAAAGGAATGTGCCTATATGCTGCAGGAAAGAAGTCAGGGGAAGTAGATGTTGAAAGAAAGGGAGGTGATAATTAGTTGAATAGCAGGGAAGGACTCTGAATTAGCCTTGGGATGGAGAAGGAGCTACTGTTCTTCTGACAGGAGAGAAGGTACTGATAGAGATATATTTGGGGAGTAGGGAAGTTTGAGAAATTATTCACTCATTACATGTATGTTGAGCAACTTCTTTGTGCCAGGTACTCTTCCAGGAAAATACTGCAGAGAACAAATTAGCCAAAAATGCTGGCCTACCTGGAACATCTGTTCCTCCTGTTTATCATAAGGAGGAAGATAATCTGTTGGAAGTCAGAGGCCTTTACTATGAGCCAGACTCTAAAACGGTCTTAAATCCTGAAATCTGTATGAGAGAGATTATCCCTATTTTGTAGTTGAAGAAATTAAAGCTCACTGAGGCTAAGAAACTTGCCCAAGGTCCTACATTTGGTACATAAACAAGGGGTAGGATTGCACCGAAAATATTTGCTCTTTCCAGTGTACCCTAATACTGACCTTTCCACATGGAAGGAAAAGTGCAAGGGAGGCTTTATGGTGAGTAGTAATTTGAAATATCTGCCCTGGAGAATAACAGGGACAGCCAACAATGTACACATAAAATAGTAGCTATGCAGTATCGTGGGCCCTCATATTTGTATTGGCACAAATGCACACAGTTTTTCAAATGTTACAATAAAAACATTCATATATGGCATTTATATGTCCCCTAATAGTTTAAAAGCTTTCACATTATTGGATAAAATAACCTTGTGAGGTAAATAAAGGGGGCATCCATTATTATCCCCATTTTAAAAATGAGGAAAAGAGTCCCCAGTGTTGGGATTTGACCAAGGTCCTTCAGTCACAATTTAGGAGCCGAACTGGAACTGACCACTTTAAATCTGCATCTTTTTTGCCTTACAATTCTTAATTTCCTTTAAAAAGTAGCATTTTTCCATAGCAGCCACTATGGAAGAGTATGGAGGTTCCTCAAAAAATTAAAAATAGTACTACTATATGATCTAGCAACTTCACTTCCAAATATTTACCCAAGGAAAATGAAAACACTGACTCAGAAAGATATATACACCCTTATGTTCACTGCAACATTATGTACAATAGCCAAGATACGGAAACAACCTGTGCCCATCAAAGAATGAATTGATAAAGGAAGCGTGACATGTAAACAGTGGAATATTACTTAGCCATGAAAAAGAATGAGACCTCTTGCTATTTGTGACCGCATGAATAGACCTTGAGAGCATGATGCTAAGTGAAGTAAGTCAGAGAAAAACAGGTGCTGTATGATCTCTCCTGTATGTGGAATCTAAAACCAAAAACCAAATTTATAGATACAGAGAGCAGATTAGTGCTTGCCAGAGGGAGCAATGGCAGGGAGAGAAATGAGTGAAATGTTTCTTTGTTTAAATAATCTGAAGTTTTTAAAAACCATTTTTCTTTCTGGTAATTCTGATAAAAATTTCATTTTTAAATAATACTTGACATAATGTATGATCATGTCCAAATTTGGAAAAAATTACAGAAATGTAAACAAAAAATCTGTAATGTTGAGAACCATATTTAACAAAATGACTTTCCAGTTTTTACTTTTCATGTGCTATGTAGTTATTTTAAACATAATTGTCTTCATGGTATATGTGACTTTGTATCATTTTTCTTTTTTCCCACTTGGAGAGTATTTTTCCAAATTTCTAAATTCTTAGAAAATATATTATACCTTATTGATATACCATATTTATTTAATAACTTACTAATTAGACATTTAGGATGTTTTTAGGTTTTCGCCATTATAAGTTACACTGAAAATAATTTTTTGTATAAGAAGTACTTGCACATGTTTTGTTTTCTTAGGGTAACTTTGTAAAATGAAATAACTGGGCCAAAGGACATGAATATCCTTAAAGACTTTTGTCTTGCAATGACAAAAATATTTTCCACAAGGACTCTAGTATGTTGCATTCCACAACACCAGCCATTATTTTTGTAAAACTTGTAATAAATGAAAATTGGTATGTTATTGCTTTATTTGCATTTCTGTGATTACTATTGAGGTTAAAACTATCATACTTATTTACCACCTTCCATCTATGTTTCCTCTGTTTATTCCTTTGTCTCATTTTGTCTTAGAAATTTATATTTGTGTCTTCTTTAGATTATAAACAGTAACGCCTTTTTGGGGAAAGATAGTTTAATGGTCAAAAGGATTGTCTTTGAAGTCAAGACTAGATTTTACTGCTTTTTACATCCTAGCAAATAAAGCTTTGGGCCAGTCACTCAACTACTATCTTTTTCCTCTATTTGTAAAAAAGAGAGTAAGACCTACATAATTTTTTATGGTGAAACTGAAGTAAATTTATAGAACTATAAGGTGCTGAACAAAGTACTTTGTGTATAGTACAGTTTTATACTTACTTGAAGTGAGTTTTTTCACCTTGTAAAAAGCATGTATATACCCTTCTCTTTGAGTTTCTTTTGCCTTTGAATAAGATCTTTCCTCATAGAACTAATTTTCTATTCATAGATACTGCCGTTTAGGTTTTATAAGATTTCATTTTATATTTATATGTTTAGTAAATTTGGAATTTATTTTGGATTTCAGCACTATTTGGGGAACAAACTACCTATTGATTTTTGATATTTCATCACATTAATTTCCTAAATATGCTGATGTATGTGTGGGAATGTCTTTTTTAACTGAGCTGTGCATCAGGTTCTTCAACTAGTCCCCCATTGTTGTATTAATTGTGTCACAGTCACAGATGTTAAATCTGATAGGGCAAGTCCCTTTCATTATTTCCTTTTCTTGTTTTCTTATCTATTCTCACTGGTGTATTCATCAGACTAATTTTATAGTTACTTTTGTTAGATTCTCCTTTTCCCTTCCCTCCAAATTCCATTGGCACTGCACTAAATACAGAAGTGAATTTAGGAAATATTGATATCTATATAATTAGAAGCATAAAATGTCTTCCATATGTCCAGGTCAAATACATGTCTCAGACAAATTTTGCATTCTTTTTCACACAGAAACTGGGCATTTCTTGATGTAGGTTATTCCTGAATATTTTGTTTGTTACCAGTGTATAAGAGGTTTCCCTTTCCCTTCCTGCTTGCCTTCCACCCTCCCACTCTCTCTCCCTTCCCTTCTTTCTTTTTGGTGTCTCCCAGGATCATGTGTATAGCATTGGAATCGGCTGTCTCACTAAGGTGCTGTGGGCAGCGGTCTTGGAGCTGGTTGACTTTGGTGGTCAGTGTTATTTATTTATGCACTTATTTGAAGGGGAGAGCAGAGCTGCAAGAGTCATGATCTGATTTTCTATTTCTTGGTTTAACTTGATAGTCTCATCTTAACAAACATTTTGTCTTACAAACAGGACAAAGAGGAAAAAAATAGATGAGGATTTTTTTCCTTTTACAAATTTTGACTCATTAGGAAATGCTTATTAAAACATTCTTTATTTTGTGAAAATCAGTATTTGGTCTTTTCTTAGATATTGGAGAGCAAAGCATACATTATCTGGCTTATGCTGTGTTTCTTACAGAGATCTGTAGACAGAATAAGCTCATTCAAGAAAAAAAAGACAACTTGTTAAAGTTGATTGCTGAAGTAAAAGGCAAAAAGCAGCAAGTGGAAGTGCTAACTGCAAATATCCAGGATCTTAAGGAAGAATATGCAAGGAAGAAGGAAAGTAAGTTTCCAGTTGTACATGTATTTAAAACATTAATCTAAATTTTAAGTGTTAGTGGTTCACAGTTATGTGTATCTTGCCTTCTCTCCTCACTGCCAAAAATGAATAAAATACATGAGGGGCATAACCAGCCACTCATCTCTGCAAGATGTCTATGAAGTTAGCTAAGTGGGTTTTCTTTTCTTTTTTTTTACTTGTGGGTCCTTTTGATTTCTGGTATAACTAGAGTCATAATGAAATTGATATGGGAGTTTAATTAAGCAGAAGTGGGAGACAGTTTCACTAAATAAGATATGCCTGGAGAAGCCATAGCATAACTGACAACAACAAATGTATAGGTCACACATTCTCTACCAGGCCCTATGTAATAAGCGCACACTATGCTGCAAGTCTGTCTAAAAATCTTCAACTTTCAAATGTGTGTGTTTTTTTTTTTATATCATAGCTATTTCCACTGCTAAAAAGTCAAATGAAGAGAGGTTGAAAAGGTTGCAGAAATCTGCAGACTTGTATAAAGATCGACTTGGACTAGAAATTAGAAAAATTTATGGTAAGCATATTAATGTAAATAAAACAGACAATTAGAAAGGTATATCTTTTCTAAGTAGAGGAGAATTTTAAAATATTTTTACATAAAATAATGGCCACATTATTAACTTTCTAGGAAATAGGAAAAATATACAAAATTTTTATTACCCTAAGATAATTACTGATGTCTTATTTATCATCCAGTATTTTAATAAATGTATTTTTGTCATGATTGCCAACTTACAAATAACTGTTGTTCCTTGTCTTTATTGATCAGTATTTCTCCTGCCCTCACATGGTAGCTTTAAAATGATGCTGTAATAATTCATTCCATTAATGTATCATAATTTATTCATTCTTTTATCTATTGTTTAATACATGTATCACTTCTAACTTGACATTTGGATTCTGCCTGTTTCTCAGTTTTAGAAATACTACAGAGAATATAGACTTCTCCTTTTTTTGTGTGTATAATTTCCATGGAATTCCCAGAGAAGAATTGCTAGGTTAAAGCATATAAACATTTTAATGACTGTTACATGTAAATGTGGCAGTTTGCAACACTGTTTACTAGGTTAGGAGTCCCCAAGATCACCATCAGGTTTGGTGATTTGCTGGAAAGACTTACAGGATTCAGCATATAGTCATATTCATGTCTCAAATTTATTGAAGAAAAAAATGGACAATGAAATCAGCTCAAAAAAGGCACAAGGAGCAAAGTCTAGAGGAAACAAGCTTCTCAGGCACAAGTTTACAAGAGCACTAAGTGGAGTCATACAGGGCGTGCTTAATTCCTTCAGCGTTAAATTGTGACAATACATGTGAAGTGTTGTCTGCTGGGGTAGCTCATTAGAGACTCTAGAAGCTTGTGCTGGTTTTCTCTGGACTTCACCTCTGTATGTTTTCCCCTTGCCGATTTTGCTCTGTCCTTCTGCTGTAATAACCTGAGTGCAACTATGTGCCGAGTCCTATGAGTCCTCCTGGTGAATCTTCAAATCTGGGGTGATCTTGGGGACCTGCAACACACCATCCAACGACCAGCTTTCAAGCAGGCCTTTCCAAGATTCCAAGGATAGCAGTGTCAGGCCTACCCCCTTATTTCTTTCATGCATACCTTTACATGGTGTAAAGAGTACCCATTTCATTTTATTCTTTCCAGAACTTTATTTATTTTAAGTTTGGGGGTTTTTGGCAGTTGACTAGTTGTAATTGGATCATTTTTTTAAAAGCTCATTTCTTTGATTATTAATGAAAAAGTGACCATTTTTTTCTGTTTGTTTACTAATTATATTTCTTTGTCTTCATTCACATATCTATTAGTTGTGGGGTATTCTTACCCCTTACCTGTTGGAATGAGCTTTTAATAAAAAATATTAACCTTTTGATTAGCAGAGTAAATATAAGGGCCAACTCTGAACTTTTGACCCATTGGACTCTATATTCACTGTCATCTTGTGCTTTTTTTGTTTAGTTCTGTTTCAAAACCAGTTTTAAAACTCAGGAAATAATCCTGAAAGTCAGGAAATAATCTTTTAAAGAAAGAGACAACCCAAATTAAACCCTTCCTTTTACCTGAGTATCTTGTGGAATCTTTTTTGCTTGGCATGAATCTCTCCCATTACTATTAACAGCTTAAAAAATCTTGTGTACTGATGTAATTAACTTCATTTTTAATACAAATGTGAGGCAAATTTTTTCAAAGCTTCTAAAGATTTATTTTTATAATTAAAAACATTTTTTATGAGATTTCCTAAATGTTTATGCTGCAGAACAAAACTAAAGTATGTGTTGAGTTTCTACTTTGTGGCTGCCATTTTGAATTTCTACCAAGCATTTATTTCCTTTGGGGAACATTTGGAGATCTTTTGAGAAAAAGGCTTTAAATCCAGATAACTCTGTAAAAAAAGCCAAATTAAATTTGTTAATACATTTTTTTAATTGTGGTAAAATATATTGACACACAATTTTAACTACTTTGTATTGCAGTGTTGTGCAACCATTACTACTACCTATTTCCATCACCACAAACAGAAACTCTGTACCCATTAAACAGTAACTCCCCATTCTCCCCTCCCCCAACCCGTTAACTTCTAATTGACTTTCTGTCTGTATGAGTTTACCTGTTGATATAAGTGGAATCATACAATATTTGTCCCTTTGTGTCCATTATTTTACTTAGCATAATGTTTACAGTGTTCATTCATGTTGCTGCATGTATTAGAAATTCATGCCTTTTGTGACTGAATAATATTCCAACTGTATGTAAATACCACATTTTGTTTTTTCATTCATCTGTTGGTGGACACTGGTTTTATCATCACCTTCTGGCTGCTGTGAATGTCATGAACATGGGCATAATTGTCTGAGTCTCTATTTTCAATTATTTTTGAATATATAAGTATAAATGTAACTGCTAGGCCATATTATAATTCTTTGTTTAAACTTTTTGAGGAACTGCCAAATTTTTCCCACAGCTATAGCACCACTTAAAATTTCCATTGGCAATGTAAACAGGTTCTGATTTCTTTTGTCAGTATTATCATTATCAACACTGTTCTTTTCTTCTTTTAAATTTTGTTTTCTTACAGCCTTCTAGTAGGCATGAAATGATATCTCATTGAAGTTTTAGGTTCCATTCCCCCAGTGATTAACGGTGTTGAGCATCTTTTCATGTGCTTTTTGGCCATTTGTATCTATTCTTTGGAGAAATGTATATTCAAATCCTATGTCCAATTTTTAATTGGGTGTTTTTTATTTTTGTTGGTCTGTTGTAGGAGTTTTTTTATATTCTGTATATTAAGCCCATATCAGAGAGATGATGTGCAAGTATTTTCTCCCACTTTATAGGTTATCTTTTCACGTTCTTTGAAGGACAAAAGTTTTTAATTTTGGTGAACTCCAGTTTATCAGTATTTTTCTTTTGCTTGCTTTTGCTTTTGGTGTCATATTTCAACTACAATACATTTTAAAGCTGATTTATAACTTACACATTTGGAGATGTTGGCTTAGTGAATGTATATACTTAGCAGTGTAGATACTGATCATAGAGGTTAGAAAGCTCATTTCCTTTGAGAGCTTTGGCACAATAAGACTTTCTCACAGTAAATAATTTAATCTCTTTGTTCAGGTGATAAATTACAGTTTATATTCACTAATATTGACCCTAAGCATCCTGAGAGCCCCTTTATGTTTTCCCTGCACCTAAATGAAGCAAGGGAGTATGAAGGTATGTACTCCTATCTTTTAACTGTATTTAAGATTGGCATCACAAAATGTTATTTGAATTAGAATATGAAGAAAAGTACTATCTCCATAAGCTATTGCTTTTTGTCAAGTCTTGCTTCTTGGATATTATTTTAAGACTGTGAGTATTGTTTTGAGTTATAGATATTATGAAGGAGCCTTAATATTAACCTCTTCTGGATGGCACAGTGCCACAGTGGCAGAAAAGTCTAAAAGACCAAAAAGATAACTGCATTTAATATGCAAGTATGAATTATCCTTTTAGAGAGCTTAAAAGCTAAGGCTATAAAGGATATGACTGCCTAAATGTGAGAACTATAACTTACCTAAGTAGCTGATTTTAAAATCAAATGTAAAATCATCAGAATGTGGTAATTTATTTTCCCCAAAATCAATTTTTAAAAATTATCCCATCCTGAAAAATCACACACATTGATAATTCAGTTTCATTACTGATTATCTAGGAGGCCAGAAGGTCTTTGATTTATGGGAAATATACATAATTGGTAATAGTGATTGACAGGAGAGTGGAAATATGTTTTGTCTCTTAATTATTCTTCTAATGCCCCTTTCAAAGTAATCCTTAACTTACTGAAATTCAGAAAAATGATTCTCAGCTCTTTACACATGTTCTCATCTTACAGCACTTACAGCAGATACATACTTGTGAACTGCTGAGTGAGTTGGCTCCTTAATATGCTCTGGTGACTCAATTCCTATACTAATGAGATTTATATTTTAGGAATCTAGTTTACAAATGTTGGCTTTCTTTTTTCTCTAGGTGAATACTTTTTAATCTAATGAGGTCTAGATTAAAAAAAAACAAATAAAAAAATGTCTTACCTAGCTTTTCACAAAATTGAATATCCTCTATTGCTGCATAGTGTCATAGTATTTGATTATGTTTTAAAATAGAATATATGGTATACATTTTGAACCAAGTACTTTTTGCTATTCTTTCTTGCTTTGATCATGGGCCTTGTTTCCTAAGCAATGTCTACCAAAGATCTGGAAATCTGATATGCTTGAATTTTTTTCCCCCCTGGAAAAAGGAAAGATAGATCATTCCTTTCCTTTCATCACCTTCACTGGACACTTGCTCCCAATATGCATATACCATCTTGTACAACTTCTGAGAGACCTGTACTGTTATTTGTGATGTTGAGTGTCATTTGATTAGTGGCTGTGTAAATAACCACTTTCAGAAGAGCAACCACATTCTCTAACGATCTCCATTTCACTTGTAAAACTTCAGATATTTTTCCCATAATTACAGGTTACTAAGGGTTGGTATTGCAAGGTGTCTTTTTGATCTAATGGTCAGAAATTAGAGGCAGGTCAAAGTTCTCAGAGAAAACTGACTCGATAGTTTAAAAACCTGTTAAAACAGTTCAGAGAGTTAAAATGAAACATGGGAAAGATGATGGGAAATGAAGGGCATTTTTTCACTAAGCTCCTCAGTCCCTTGGCTACCATCTATTTAAATTTAAAGCAAGTTATAGTATTTACGATTTGAATATTTAGAGATAAAGGAAAGGTCCAAGAGGTAGTTAGGATATGAAAATCATGTGTATCTATTATTCTGTCTTCACCATTTCATTAAGTAAAGTTGAAATTATTTGTATCAGGTGTGAAAGCATCTAAATTAGAAACACATCTTTTCTATAAAAAAAATTCACTCAGATTGTCCTTTTTTTTTTTTTAGTGTCAGATAGTGCTCCTCATCTTGAGTGCCTAGCAGAATTTCAAGAGAATGTGAGGAAGACCAACAATTTTTCAGCTTTTCTTGCCAACGTTCGGAAAGCTTTTACTGCTATGATTCATAATTAATGGATAAATAGCATATAAAAGCTGTTGTTTTCTTCCCTATCATTTATTCTCATTCTTCATTCCTTGCCCATAATCCTTTTGTATTTTTGTAACATTTCTGTCAAGTATGTTTATTTTAATTAAAGTTTTAGGAAATAAAACTTACGAAGTCAAATGTCTTTTTAAAATGAAAATATTTTTAAAAATATATATTATATATCATTTTTTTTGTATCATTAATCTACAACTACATGAAGAACATTATGTTTACTAGGCTCTCCCCTACCCCAAGTCTCCCCCACAAACCCCATTAGAGTCACTGTCCATCAGCATAGTAAGG